GTAGTGTGTAAGTGCGCTCGTGTGTGTGTGTAGCTTAGAGTGTAAAGCTCGCTCGACCCACCACCTGCGCCTCTTCCTCGTCGGTGGAAAGACTGTGCAATGTGGGAGGACTGTACGGCGGCGACACTTTTCCGACAGTAAAACCATCGGACCGTGTTTATCAAAGGCCATATAAGCGCTTTAATACCGCCGCGCCGCCCAAGTTAAAACGGACGGTCAGCGTCAGCGGACAAAGCATATACGACGGCGGCGCGTTACCATGACGATAAAAGGACCCCGGAAATGTCCAGCGATTATTATTATTATTATTATTATTATAGCGAGAGAGGAATTGAGAGAGAGAGACAATTGGTGATAGGGAGTGCAGGCAGACGAAGAAGAAAGAAATTGTCGTCGTGTCCGAAATAGGACGAAAAAATATATAAATAACGTAAATACGCCGTTTATGTGTGTGTGGGAGGTCGAATGTTTACAGCGGGGAATAATGCGTCCCTCCCGGGGCTGTCGTCACACGGTGTTGGTGGGCGGAAAGTTGTCGTCCATTCTTCCTTCGGGGTACTGTCGACCGTTCTGGTTGTTCTTATCCGATCGGACGATATTATCAATAATAAAACGTCGACCAACATCATTGGTGTCTTCCGTCTCTAGTCTCTACCCACATTTCTGAACGATTAATTATTGTCGCGCCGCTATATTAATTAACGTTGTCGACTATAGGCGGTGGTTTTCCAACGATTATCTCCAGCTTTTTTACACAATAAATAATAATGTATTATGTCCACCAAGTGGGCCCCTGTATATTATGTACGTATTATATACATATAATAATTAATAACGGATTCAACCGTGACTGGTTACGATACCGAATCCTTTTACGGATTTATAAGCGTGTTTTATAGTTGTAGTAATAATATTGTGTGTGTGTGTGTGTGTGTGTGTGTGTGTGTGTGTGTGTGTGTGCACACGCGCGTGCCGTCGTAATTTTATATTATTATTATTATTATTATTATTATTATTATTATTATTATTATTATTATTATCATGCGGTTTTCGCTCAACCGAATTCCGAGATCGGCGCAAGTTATTCCCTGTTATACTTACCACCTTAAAGTAGCTCTTGTATATAGTTGCTGTATTGTGCAGCGGCGTTTTATTCGCGCAAAAGCATTCTGCTCGGCTATACCGATAATAACCGTTTCGAAATCAAAAAGCTCCGTGTCGTTGTTTTTATTTTTATCGCACTGTTGGGCGAACAAAACGTGTAAGCAGTAGGTAAAGATTAAAGGGTAATAGTCGTATAATATACTTACGTGTCGCACCGTATTTCTTAAAACCGGGCGATCGTTATCATACACGTAACTCGGATACTCTGCAGTACTTTTAGCGTCGACTTTCAATGTTGACCGCGCGTTATTATTGTGTGCGAAAATTTACTGTTAATGTGGATACATAATGAACAAATAGTGAGTAATATTATTTTGTACAAAAATAAAGTGGCCGGAACGTAAAATGTTAGGAAATCCTAATTTAAAATAAAATATTTTAAATTACTTATCAGCATTGATTTGAAATTTTTTTGTCGGTTATTTTATTAGCTTACTCAATAAGTAATAACGTATGCGTTTGGAAATTAAACCGTTGACAAATATTATATTTTAAGGTGTAAAATTGTCAATTATAAATATATGAAAATAAGTTATTGTAAAATCTGAAAATACTATTCCAAAGTAACACGGTTCATACAAATACAGTTCCGAATGAATAATTTTCTAACTTTGTATGCACGCCCATCGATTACACGATAACAGACAAAATAATTCAAACTGAACATGGTCTGTTATAGCTCTTTATATAGCTTTTATTAAAAATTTAGAATTAAGAATATCATATATATTACATACTTATATACTCAATAATCAAGGCAGGATTAAGAGTTCTTTTGATATACCCAGGGGCCGACATTTGGTTGTGACTTGTTGAATCGAAAATAAATACAGTCAATAGGTATATTATGCGTGTTTGCCGAGTGATGTACTCGGCGTATAATACTAGAATGATTAATGATACATAATAATATAAAAAGTTCACTGGAAATATATAAATAGGTTGCCATTATACTACAACAATATATGTTTGCTCGGTGGCTAATTATTTGAGTAATTTAGTAGCATACTTTAATAACACCGTATGGCATTGTATGTTTATGTATATATATGTACAATATAATTGTATAATAATAATACGTCGAAAAGTTCGACACACACGCATAACATCAAAAGCGTTATTCCAGTTCGAGGACCTCGACGGTGATGTGCTCGGAGGGTAGGTCGATATAATTTATGTGGTAGTGGTTGTGACGCTGATAATTTTTCAGTTGTGTACGCGCGCCATGTGCATAATATTATGATGTAAAAAATAATGGAGAGCGGAAGGGCTGTCGAACGGGATAAGTCACTTATATCGTAGATATCTGGAATATTTCCACGAAATATGGGCTATTGGCTGACCACAAAGAAAATGTATATGAAAAAAAAACAGCATTATAAATATAACCGCTTCTTTGGACCAAGGTCCTCGCGAGAAGCTCTCCTCCGCAGCGTGCCTTAATCCGAACGCGTTCAAGTATTCCTATACATTGCACACATAAACACACAATATATATATTATACTACAGAAACTTAACTGCGGTTTTATATAGAACGTCCTTGGGTGTTTTTTTAATATATATTTTTTATTGGCACAGCGGTCAATTATTGTGCGGCGGACCATGTAATTCTTTTTACTGTATACGAGGAAATCGTGACTTGGCCACTTCGGGCAAACTTCGGTTTTCGTTTGACTGTAGATGTTATTTAACGTTGTGTATACCTATATGACGCATATAATTGTATAAAATAATAAATTCATAAGGTAACTAGCAGAGCCGATATTATTTTAATATATACATATAGGCAGTTGTGCTACCGTTTGTGTTTGCATCGCATTTACTTTACGCTACCGTTATAATATGACACTATATTATAATATACAATAAACACAAAAATGTATTAAAACTGTAGACGTCAAAACCATTTTTGTCTTCTGCTCTCGCGGTGTAATAACTATATAACCTTATAATTTACACCATTATAATATTATATCTATTAAAACGAATAACTATTTTGTCCAACGCAATGAACAAAACGGCAAGTCAAACTCTTCGTGTAGCCGAATGCCCGAATGTCGACAGACACGACGTCTTCTCTCGCCCTCTGTGGTACAAAATATATAATCGTTTTGTTTTCGACGTCGAGGGAGAGTTGTTATAGAACTAATGGGACTTTACATTTCGCGCTCGACTATACGGTTTTCGTAATTATATAATACTACGCGTGTGTTTATATATATATATATATATATGTATATATATAACACTCTTATAAACCCGTACATCCCTCGTTTTATAATATATTATATTGCGTCTTCGCGGTCGAAAAGAATGACATGCCGAATTTATGAATGGGCGTCGCCCGCACCCTCAACAACCGTTTTGCTCTTTAAAACGACTCCTCACGTTTCGAGGTGTAAAACCACGATTTCAACCCTCTTTCTTTTTTTTCTTTTCTTTGGAAGACCGTATAATTTTTTAATATGTATAAAGTAGAGAGGTATCCCGTGCTTAGGTTTTTTTTTTCGTTTATTTTCGATGGAGGGAGAAACGTATTTTTATGCTGGAGCGCAATATAATAAAGTAATTATTATAACGTCGAAAATAACATTCTATTAAATGCGGTCCCTAATCAAATTATTATTTATTTTTTTAATTTTGCCACACGAACCTTAAAAAATATACATCAACATTAGTATTACTTGAAATTCCGTTTATTTATTTCGTGTTCTTATTATTTATAGGGTCGTATTAAAAATAAAAATGATATTATACGGAATATAAATGTTTATCAAGGACAAATAAAAAATAACTTTTAACACGATAGGTACATATAATGTATAATTTAAAAAAAGTGTAAAGTAAGACAAACAATTTCAAACTGTACCTACACACGTTTTATATTTTTACATAAAAATGTCCTTCGTTTCAAATACGCGCGATAAAATCTAATAACTGCATTATTATTATTATTCGTGTGTATTAGAAATTTTTGTTGTGACTCGTTATTTGTATAATAAACATTGTTTTAACCTTACATTGATTAAAAGTTAACGCCCAACGCTATTCGCAGCAGTCGCAGTACTACCCGTGTGCTTGTGCCAACGGGCGGTGGAGTCCGTCGGTAATCTTACACATTATACATTATTATTACTATTACTATAATGTAGACACATTATTTTATTAATCTCGTGGGAATTAATTTTATTTTGTGCTTTTGATGGACTATCGGTCCCCCGCTCGTTTCCAGCAACATACGAACACAATCATTTATATTAGGCCCTAAATATATATTTTACATATAGGTACGCACTGCGTGTAAAAATCTGCACGAATAGTAGGTATTTTACAATTTAAAATACCTCAATCGTATTATATTGTATGCGTATAGTTATAAGAACTGTTTCTCGTACGATACAGTTTAATATAAATACCTATTATATATTATTTGTATCGTATAATAATGTGGTGTAGTGCACTATATACATTATTGCGTTAGCAACGAACAAAAATAAAATGCATAAAATATCACGTCGCCGTGTGTGTCGTACAATCGCGGTAGTAATACCGAAGACGTCATAATTCCTGCGTATGGCCCATAGTATATACCTATATATATTATTATTATGTGCAGATCGTGTGGGCTCCGCGCACGGTATCCAATGACTGTTGCTCAGGTATTTGACTCTTATCGGTGACATGTATTTTCGCGTTGTTTCATTACGTTATATACATTAAAAGAATATATAATATATATTTCAATATTGTAGGCCTCTGCGCGCCGTACCAGAGTGCTATTTAGCTATCGACACCATTCGTTTTCGTATCGCACACGCCACCGCAAGCTACTAGTACTACGTGTCGTGTGTTCCGTCTTGCAGCAGCGTGGTCTTTGGCGAGGTCCGTCGGTCATCGTTGTTTTTTATTCTTTCTCTCGTTATCGTTATTATTGTTGTTGTTGTGGTCCGAACGGGTTCGTACAGTATTTATTTTTATAATTCGACGTCAGTTCATGCGTCAATCAGTGTAAGATATCTATATATTATCATCTTAAACGTTAATATTCTATGGATATTTTATAACATACGCGTTTGTATAAATCGTCGCTTTCTAAACCCCCAACGACAACGCAGAAATAAGATCATTTTTTTAACGACGTTTTCCTTGTTGTGTACTTTAATATTATATAGGTCTCTAGTGCGGTCAATGGTATATTGTTAAAAATGATAATGACTTTTTGCATTCGAATAGGTATGTTGTAAGAATATGTTCGTTTTTGAAATAAAATTTTAATTTGATAGCCGCCACAGGTTTCATAATTTCCGACTGCACTTTTAAAGAACTATATATAATATTACAGTATTTACCGTTGTGTTATGTGCGAGATCAAAACGGCTCTATTGTTTAAACGTTTCAAAGAGTCGACCTATTGTTCGAGGCCGTCCGTTATTGGTGGATAAAATAGTGAAAATTTTTTTTAATCATGTGCCCACAAAACCGATTGAAGAGAAATCAATACAACGGCGGCAGCGTCGTGTATTCATATACGCACGCATAATGGAGACAAGGAGAGACCATTATTACATATTGTAAATCCCGTTCAAGGTCAAACCGATCCAGTTTTTTTTGGCGCCACTGTAGTATTATGGACGTCGATGACGATGACATAAGATACGAACTACTGAGAACCTTACAAGTAAAACACGCGTTGTTATTATTATTAATATTATTATTGTGTCGAAACCAAAAGTGCTCGAGACTTCTAAATAATTTATTTATTACTGCCGTGAATAATAATATTGTATAATATCTATTATATGGGTAATGATAACAATATTTTCATAGCAAATACTGAATGTCTGAATATATTATTAATTCCGTCCGTTTCGATGAGAAAATGATTATCTTATTATTATTAATCTTAATTATATCTGGTCGGCTGTGCGTTCCTTTTTTTTTATTTTCCCACCGTGTAACATTACACTTGCGCATAGCTTAGAGCCCCGGCTAATGTGTATTATAATAATATCATCGTAATACGCGTTCGCATATAATATAGAATATAAAGGTACGTAATGTACAGTACACGATATAGGGTATACCCTATTATAATATGAAATATATATTATATTATGGTAATAATAAAAAATGTACAGTAGTATAATATTACGGTTGGCGCCTACTTAATCGCATACGTTTTCCACAATCAATCTCTGTGTCATAAATAGTAATATTGTATATGATTTTGTTCTATTTTTCGATTTACCTTTTGCGTATACATTTAATATAAAATATAACTATATAAATTTATTATATCGACGACTTGAACAGATAACTGTTATTCTTCTCTTGTTTATCCTGTCGAGTTACAGTCGTTGTGCCTGGAGCCCGCGGTTGAACGGATGGGGTGTACGTTTAAAGTTCATTCATTTATTATTATGCGCTCGCCTACCTTAATAAGATGTACAGTGCACATATTGGTTTGTTTCTTAAAAAGTTCTATGATAATTATAGGTACTTGGGCTGTGGTTTTTTTTTTTGCTGCACCCCTTCACTCGTTTGTTTTTGATTCAACGCCGCCAGAAAGCCCAAATGACGAGGTATATACGTGTAAGCTTATGACTGTCATTCGTTAATCACTCAAACACTGCTCCACACAAGTAAATCGCGCATATTCCATTCCTATACCTAATATTTTTTATATTTTCTTGCAAGGTATACTTTTTTCGTTTCCGCGGATGTTTCAAAACTTTTCTTAATACAACTGCAGGTCGTTTCGTGAAATGTCTTCACTGTAGTGTACAATCGTAGACGCTGATGATGCGGTATTGAAATTCGAATCCTAAGCAAATCGATCGTCGTCGAATTACTATACAGGTATATAATCAGATGCGTATATAATTGCGTTTGTATACGATAAAGTATCATTATTGTGTTTATTATTTAAACCATTAAACTACATAATAATGTAGTGCGCTCGACACGAACGGGATTTCAATGATGATATAGGTATATAAACATTATAACCTAAAGACTAGCGGCTAAGCCGTTATTATTAATTCTTTTTTTCTATACCTAGTGGTGTTTTAATGAAATTTTATTATTGAAGTCGAAGAGAAAAAATGGATGTCACGTATAATCCTAATTGTTTTAACGAGCTGTATTAATGATATTTTTTTTTCTTGACTAACCTAGGCCTTGATCACAGTTCGATTACATTGAACGGTAAATCTTTGACGGTATATATATGCATTTATCCACGATATTGCAATTTGCGGGGTCCATATACCCGCCATATATTTATACAGCGGTACTACAATGTATGTCTATACATATATAATACTGATTACAGATAATTGATAATGTGATATTAAGTAATAATAAAAAATATAAGCCCATATTGCAAAAATGTCATTACCTCTATATTATTGTTATTATATTATATACCTAAGTTAACTGTAATGATATTACCACGATTGTGCTTGCGGTCACATGAGGCAACGATGATTGCATATCAATTATACATCAATAGACTCGTTTGTGCTGTGCAGTGTGTGGATAAACCACCATATTTATGGGCTTACATAAAAGTCATGATAATATCACGATAATGTATAAATTTTTTTAATAGTAAACGTTTTCTCCATTTACGTGTATAATAAAACGTTTTAAAAAAAAATGCTGATGTTGTGTGTTGAATAAAAAAATCATAAAAGATATTATATTATAATTTTGTTTAAAAAATTAAACTCGATCAAATGCAAATACTAAATAGAGACCACCTCTTTCATATTTTACCATTCATATAATATAAATATAGGTCTATAACGTGTACAAAATAAATATATCATTTATAAACCAACTGTGTGATAGCACAATGGATCAAAATATATTTATTATTTTTATTTTGAACTATGATTACATTTAAAAAAAACGTGAGATAGCTAAAATATATGTATACATTGATAATTATACCCTCTGGCTTTTCGCTTTTACCCTCCTTAATGCCAGTGACTTTTAATACCGCACACGGTTGTTTATTATAATTTTTTATTTCTGCAAGTTATTTAATAAAGTCATGTTTTCTCGACCCTGCAGCATTAAAAAATCCCAGCGACAAGATTTATTTTTCCTGTATAAAAATTATAACTCTTTTACGGGTGTATTATATTATTTATCGATAAGTATAATGTAAAAGGGGAAAAGCGATAATTAAGGGATAAAAGATATGGGTGTATTCTAAAAGGGATGACCGGCAGCTTTTGAACCCGCCAGCACGTGTTACCTCTAACCATTATTAATAATAAAGTATTTAGTTTTTAATTTTCGGGACAAGCGATGCATTAACTCACAAATTTTATTTTTGCACTCTCTTGAAAAGTAGAAAACTGCTTTTGATTACCACCTTTTGTCTTTTGCTGGTCAGTATGTTGTTTGGCGACGATAGCGTCGTACAAATTTGTAATCGATTTAGTTAGGTAGAAAAAATATATTATATATACATATTATATATAATATATACCGAATGAACGGCTATAAATTTATAATGATAATTTAATAAAATGCGGAACCGGTTTTGTACGGTAAATGCTGCTTGTAGTGTAGGTATGGTATCGGTATATAGCTGAAAGTATTCGTAGTATTTTTGCCGTCGCCTCAATGGCGATCGGCAGAATGCAGTTTTTGTTTCATCCGATGACAATAATCCTGTTGTCGTTCCAGAGAAAGAGAGACAGAAATGGAGTTTTTTTCGTTTCATTATTATTATTTTTTTTCTTCATTCGAGTAGGTCGAGAAATTAAAATTATTGCGTCCTTATTATTTAACACACATCTAAGAATAGTTGTGCGCTTGAGCAATAGCCGCGGCAGAGTATAAAAAATGTTTTAAAAAAAAAAATGCCGTCTCGTCTGGAAGTTAATCGCCAGCTCGTTTCTATACGAGAACCGTGTGAACCCATAAATTTCATGTTGGCCGGCAAATGTAATTCCATTGTTGTTTTGACCAATTGAATATTTGAATTTGTTTTTTAATAAATTCAGTGCCATATTATTAATATTGCGAGTCGTTTAAAGAATCGCCGACGGTGTTTATTTTACCTGAATTGTGCAGTTCTTCAATAATTGTACCTATTACTAGCGATTTTGTAATGATCTGTGATGGCAGTGGTAATAAAGAATACGAGATTTTACCGAATAAAAATGTTGAATAATTGTAATACCTGACCTTTCCACATTTGAGTAGGTAGTTGTTTTGTTATAAAAAATTAAGAAAACAATATTATTATCAAGCATTAATTGTAAAGTAAATGATATTAGAAGAAGAAAAAAGTATGGTTTTATAAAATATACAAAATAAACCCTTTGTGTTCAAAGACATAAGAACAATAAAGCGCGACAGAGAACGTTATAGAATAATGTTCTTTGTACAATTATTTTAATTTCTTTATTATTTTCGTGTCAGTCAAATCCTTTTTTTTCATTTCACTCCGTATAGTATAATAAAGGAGTTTTCGTCTTAAAGCCGATTACGTTTTTTAGTATAATATTATCATACTTTTAAGGTACATAATGTTTTATTTCTTATAGAGTATAGCGGAGCGCATATTTTATGCAACTCAAATACAGCACTAACCATAATGCGATTTTCATTTTCTATATTAAATGTCGATTTGTCGAGAATCGAGACCAAAATTTTTTTTCATTAAATTGCTGCATAATGCTGTAGCACAGACATTTTCTTAGTTAAACTATATATGGCTGTACACACGTGGCCTCTTGTTAATTTTTCGTATTACTTAGTACTTACATATACTTTTGGTTCCGCACTTTTAAAATTTAAACTGGAATTATTTGTTAATAATTAAAACAATATAAATGCTTAATGTCACAAATTATTAATTATTCAATCAACACCATAATTTCTTTATATGTTGTATCTCCATACTAAATTTTGTATTACACACAACAATAGGCGTATGTAAAAATAAACTAACCATGTAATATAATATGTACTATTATATACCTACATTACATTATTATTAGTTTATATCACCTACTATTATATATACTACTATAATAGATTAATAAAATACCTTATGATAATTTTTTAATATTGTACAAGATTTCTATACTTGAATGATTAAAATATTTTAATATTTAATTGCGATACAAGGAATTCAAAAATAATAGTTTAAACAAAGAAACTTTTTTGTGAAGATGAGCTCATCCGACTTGACGGCCTATTTTAGTTCTTTTTAGATAAAACCCTTGCGTTTTGGTTTTTCGATTATTTTTCTCTTTATTTTTATTTGTCATAAAACTTTTCTGTTCTACTTTTATTCACTTTTTTGTTATATTTTTCATTTATTTTTATTTTTTTTTTATGTTTTCGTTTGGCCTCATCTCAGCCCGTTCGTAGCATCCAGCTAAATCGTCATGCGTTTGCCAACGGCGTAATACGAGTACAAAAAGGGTTATATGTACATGAGCCAGCTTCTCAGATGTACCCGTTGTCGGAGGAAGATAGCATGACGTCCCCAGGTATGTTTTGTAACAGAAAAAAAAGAATATAGTCTTAGGAGATACAATATTTAGGAACTCGGCTTACGCGTGTACGCGCTTCTCATAACATAATACACATTTATATATATAATATTTTATGCGGACAACACATGATTGGACACGATGTAAGGTCAACACATTCGACTTCTTACGTCCAATGACCTCATCCGCTTCATCACCATCATCGACATCATTGTTACGAATATGACACAGACTCATTTTGCCGTGTAAAATATCGTATACGCGTATTCTACGTTATGTATAGTCAAATATTATGTCGTGCGTGTGACAATTCTCGTTATTTTCGGCTCGACAGCGCATTGGCCCAACAATCTATATAATATATATACATATGTATATCTAATCCGATATATTATTACGAAGATATTTATTTTTTTATTAGTTATTACGTAGGTTACCTACATATTAAATATGTATGATTTTACTGTGTTCATTATACTGACGCGGTGGTGTCTTATTGCAATTTCTGCTCGTTACATAATAATAATAATTATAATAAGCGCCGTGCAATGATTGTGTAGGTGTTTAATGTGTTCTGTGGTAACGCGTTATGATATTTCTACCTCGATAGACGATAATCATATTATAATATAAGGGACCGACCTATGTGTAAAAACATATTATTGATTGCACGTACGGCCACTGTTTTAATCTACGTTACAATTGTGAAATCGTCCAAATTAAAATATATAATATTATAACGACGGTAGGTACCTACGTATTATACTTTGAATCGCGGGATAGACTGCATTCTGTTGAGAACGAAAGAACCGTATTTACCTACACGCAGATGTATAATATGGTATTACAATTTACAATATCGTGTATTTTAACGTTTACGTAAAACGCGGAATGAAAAAGATTAAACACGGTTTGAGATTGAGATTTATCGAATCCCGCGATGATTCATGGCCCTACCTCTGCGTATGCATATTACATGTTTACAATCGTATACTGCGAAATATAATATATTATTATAATGTATACGAACGTTGTGTGTGTGTGCGTACACGTCACGCCGGTACGGTGTTTGAATTTTTATTTGTTTTTCGAGTTAAAAGTTTATTATTTTTCAAATTTCAAACAATTTCGGATACATTCGCATAACATTAACAAGGAAAAATTTGTTTTTACTTTTTTTTTTTTAGAAAATAACGTTTAACGAAAAAAAAGCGTCCGTTGTGTTATACACATTATCGCGATATAATATTATATTCGTCGTAGGTAGGTAGGTATACAACAAACGAATTCAACTTTTGAATATTTTATTTTATTTTTTATTTTGAAGTAGGTATATGTGTGCACAATGCACATATACATGCCATTCCGTAATAAACATTTTCGTACAGTACACGTATCCCCATATAATAATGATATAAATAATAAATCATTATTATAATATCCATCATACAAAGTTCTTTCATTTTTTTGCTGAGAATGTGTTGTTTTCATCAAATAATAATTACTTTATAGCGTTTACTGCACTGCAGCATCACATCGACGTCGTTGCCATATTATGATGTGTATACATATAATATTTATATTACGTAATATACATTATGCCTATACGGAATATTTTTTACTGACGGAATTCGGTCGAATGCAATTTTTAAAGACATTTCATATAATATAATTGTTTGCAGCGAAGGGGTGCAGGGTATATGCATACGTGTTCCCGTGCTGCTGTGCAGGGACAAAAACGTGTTATTAATTTTAAATCGAAAACGATACGATCATCGCATCACGTGCGGGATAACATTTTCGACCATCAATAATTTTCTTTTTCCCACACCCAAATCGAACGTCCGCGGCGTGGGCGGCCTAGCTACGGCTTTTGGGTCGCAGCTATGATACTGTTATTAGGTATATGGTAACATTGTGCATCGGTCAACAATAATCGCCCATGTATTTCTGAATTACATGTACCTATATGATATTATATTATACCATTATATTTTCGCTCTTTCAACAGCGGCCGTTTATATATCACGTTGTCGTCGTCGTGTACGTGTCTCGGTTCGGAGGAGCCCCGTCGGACCCGTCATCGTAAGGTTATGAGTTTATAATATATTACACGTATATAATATGATGAGACGGGGCCGAGGCATGGTCGACGGAGGTGCAGGTGTGCACGATGAATCACACCGTATAGAGTCGCCCAGAACTGTATAGGTATACGATCGCGCACGCACGCACACTCATTTATACTCAGTGAAACGTATTTCTCGGAACGGGCGTGTTCAATGGGGTGACCTTATATACTATAACGATACAATAAATGTATGATGTACACACACAGATACACACTCACTCACGGCGCGTTGTTGTCCATTGATATCGGCTTAGCGCCGTCCCTATTTTTATATTAAAAAGGTCTTCGGTGAGCGGGGAAACGAAAATCGTCTTGAAATCCGAATTCACACTGTATATATATAATGTTTGCAGCAACACCAGCCACTAATATTCTGTCGATAATCGTTTTCCGTCCCGTGAGCTCGACAATGCACCGCCACGGGCAACGCTGTTGCAGGTCACTATAATATTATTATCGTTATTATTGATGATTGATTATAATTCTATTCGCTAGAATGAAATAAAAGCAAACCCATAAATACGATTTAAAAAACACCTATAATCTGTATAGGTACAAAGTGGGTAGAGGGTGGTAATATTGTAATGTATCTAGTATAGGTGAGGTTAGTAGTTTATAACAAAAAAAGTTCAACGTGACCGATCGCTGTCGTCAAAAGGACTTCAAATGTGGTGAATCGACGTCGTCGTTTTGATCACGGCATTATAGGTACACTTGGTCGAAAGAATAGGTACATAATATGCGTTTATATGCACTCGGCGATACAACATAATATACAGCGATTTAAAATATTACTTACTCACGTTGTGCAGTTCAAAATCCTTACAAAGAGTGGTTTCCACTCTTAAACTATATATCGTTCGGCCAATTATCGTGTTTTCTGGCTACGGGTAACCGTTATGAGTTCGTTTCTTGTTCGAAATTTATAGTAATGTTTACCGAATTATTGCTTTAACAGAGCTTAAAATGTTTTCGTACAATATGAACTGCACCACTGTCAAAACGTTGGATTTTGCAAATACATAAAATATTTGATATGAATGTACCCAAATCGTTTTGGATTAAATAATATAGTCGCTGCAGTTGAAGTCTGATTATTGTTCCGTGGAACGCGTCCTTCCACGATGTTATGGGATTTGAAAGGTAACGTAATATAATACAGCATGAAACGCAATCGAATCTGGTAAATATACGGTGAGAGGGGTGCACCACATCACGTTTCATTATCCGTAATCGTTATTTCCTGGAACATGGCAACATACAACCATCACCCCCGCACCGACAAGTCGATTTTGGTCCAATTTCCAGACATTTTGAAATACCCAATATTATTATCGGGTCGTCCTGCATGCAGAGTGTAGTGGTGTACAAAATAGTAAACCACATATTAATATATAGTGTAACGTGTATAACGTGGTAAACATATTTGGTAATATGTCCAATGCCGCCTTGGCGTCCGCCCGAATGAATGGGGGACGTTTTTACGACCGTGTAAACAAGAGACCGTTTTTCACCCCGTCCAATTGTCACGCTGCTCTCAGATATATAAAATAGTGTGTGCGTGTGTGTGTCAAAACGGATTTTGTGTAATATGTATTATATAGGTATACGACGATTTACTATAATAGTAATAATAATAACAATAGTAATAATAATAATTATTATTATTCGTATCTATACACGGTTCATCTGACCAAGGGATACGGCTTGGTGGCGGCAGTGACTGCGACAGGTACATGTGGCAACGTCGCGAGTTACAAGTTACCTGAAAAAAAAAACACCGCCGATCCATTGTGGACGCCAAACCGGTTTTCGTTCCGGACGACACCTGTACACCGCCTACATTTTGTATTTTACACACACACTCAAGTCTCTCGTATACACACTCACACATGCGACAACAAAACGTAAATTAAAATATATACGTATGATATCCTTTTGCTTTCTCACGATCCTGGGACAACACATGCACACACACAGACACACACGACGACGAAGAGTTGACAACAGTCCGTACGAATACAGTCTCGATGAGTTCGCTCCCCGGGGTTGTTAACATGTAACATAATATCGAGTGTCTTGTGATTTTTATTAATTTTCACGCCGTTGTCGATCGCCCGTTAAATCACGCCGAGTAATCGTAACTAATGTGATTAGACTGATGGACTACTGAATTAAACGGCTGCTGATCTTATCAAAAGCTCGCACGGTTTCGTTTAATTATTTTTCGGTAATGCTCCTGGCTTTTAAACGATTTTCCGCGCTGACTTAGTTATACCTCTTATAGTCTCCGATTGTGCGTTCATTACAGACTAGGAAGGGAGTATAATATTATAATATTATTGTTGTTATTGTTATTACAACCGCTGCAGTCGGTCGTGTGCAAGCCTGTTTCATCGTTGGTGGTGTCTCTAGCTAGGGCACCATAGGGAAAGAATAATAAGTATGTAATATTATTATCATCCCGAGTGAATAGTGGATAAACTGGTTTGACGAACATCATCGTCAGCAGGACTGCTGCTTGTTTATCATTGTTGCCGACTCATATCGCTTGTGTGTGCATATACTATAAATAGAGGGACGTTATCGAGAGGAAACAATTACTATTATTGTTATCTTTTTTTTTAGCATTTCTAGGATAGGATATCTTGTTTACACGCCGTTGCAGGTCCCGGCACTCATCTCTTGGCCATCCGTCACCGTTCTGCTAACAATCGTATTCAAATCTACGACTTCAAAATTCACCTCCCCATCACCCCACACTTATTATGTACAATAATACAACGAACGAATGACTAGACGTACCGCATACAGAATGAATGGCTATTATGTGTCTGCGAGTACATTATGCATGTATGTGTGCGTG